TTTTTCCCTGGTTTGTTCAAAACACGCCCCATAATCACAGCTCTATGGAGCAGTATCAGACTCATATTCTGACTAGAATTGAGTCGGACTACGTCAGGCTATGAGACTCACGCATCTCAGTATCTTCACACGCTCTCACTCCATATCCGCAATTTTTCACGTTAAAAAATTACCGACATTAAAACTCACTCCATTCCACTTATTTATATATAAAAATACCATGCTGATAAAAACCCAGTCCGCGTTTTCAACAGTAACTTAATGACATACACACATAATGACATGCCAGGTTCATATCCAGTCCGTATTTTTGCACCAGCCCACCTATTCACTGTGAGGTGAAATTAGTTGTATTATTACAATTATCATGTTTAATAAAAGGAAATTTTAAACAATGTGCATTTGAGAAAGGTTGGAAAGGGTTTGAAAGTAATTTATAATGTGTTTGAAAAAGTTGAACCAATGTTTTACTTTTGGTTCTGATGTTTTTCCCAATTTATATCTTATTAAGTGCATTTTTAGTGGTTTTTATTTTAGTGTTTATTTCTTACATTCAGATTATTTTTTTCATTTTTTAAGTTTTTTTTTTTTAATTCTTTTGGGGGTTTTTTGAGGGGGGAGACTGAGTTTTATGCATTAACTTTTTCATATATTGCTGACAAGACTTCTAGAAGGAACAATATTGGTCTGTGGGAAGAACCAATAGAAATGAGTCTCTCATGTGTGGACATTGGCAAAAGCGTTTTGATTGGTCTGCAAACAGACAATCTAGAGGTGTAGATTATAAAATATGGAAAACCAAAATTGAAAAAAAAAAATGCAGTCTGTGAAATCAAGCCTCTGAAAAGATAAGTTAAAAAAGAAAACCTAAAAAAAAAATAGATATAAAGAGATAGGTAGGTTAAAAAAAGAAAGAAAAAACTTAAAAAGAAGAAATAAAAAATAATAAATAAAAACAACTGAATCAGGGAAAATATTTGAAAAAAAGTAGGAACTAAAATCTGAGGGGCAAAAAATGTATTTTGCATTACAGTAATACTGTAATCTCAAAACCTCATTTTTGATTGAAAAGTTTTTAATGTTAATTTTTTTAAGCTCTTTTTTAGGCTCTTTCCTGTTAATAGAATCAGAGCACATTTCTCTATCATTTAAAAGAATTATGTCCTCTACATACTGTCAGTTAATTGCAGTCATAAGGATCTACATGGTATCAGTCTGGTTACTTGTGACCAGCAGGATGTTTGGTGCTCTCAGATCCGCGTCACCTCTTTCACATCCATTTAACGATCCCACAGATGCCTAATTGTTTCCCTAATGATGCCGAGTCTAATGGGACTGTTTTTGCTCTTCATTTGATAGTGCTGGCCCAGTAATTAGACTGCACCTCACTTCATTAAACAGCAGGAGGGGAGTTTGGGGGTGGGGGGCTAGATTAGGGCCTGGTGACGTCTCAAAATACAGATGCAACAAGGGGAAACAGCTACACCATGAAACGATTCCTTTCCCTCTTATCTCTGCGTCTCTGTTGTCCTGCCTTGGAAAAGATGTCAACGCTTTTTCTAAAACATGTTCGCTTAAATAAGATTTTTAAATAGATTTGCTCTTTGCATCCTCATGTCATGAAATTCATCTTAACAGAAATAAACATACATGTTTATGAAAGCCTTTTTAAGTGAACTAAAGGCATATTTCAATGAGTAAAAATATTATTTTCATTATGTAAAATATTTGTTGTTATTTTCAAACCTTGAGGAAGAACACTCCAGTACACTGCAAATGGCTTTTTTTAAGGAAGTCAGAATACTGTCAAAAGTGCTCAGACATAAATGGTCATACAATCCATTTTATTTCAAACACACGTATGTAAACTCATATAATGGATATTATGAATGCTTTATGCATCCAGATGGTCCCTCTCTTGCTTTTGATGCGACTGTAGATTCTCTCCTAGCTGCGAGTGAACCTATTATTGTGCGCTCCGATTAATTTTTGCAATGTTGGATGGCTGGATAATAATTTGTTTTCCATGTGTTCATGTCACTCACAAATATGCAACTAATTTAATGCAGATTTAAGTCAAATAGTTAAAAAATACCAGGAAGGGTAGAGGCAATTGGGTCAGCTTTCTTTTTTTTTCAGGGAGTTGGCAACCATACTTCAGGCTAATAGGCTAAGGTAAATTAAAAAGAAAATTGAAGTTATCATTTAATAATTTTGTTTAACACAGTTATGACTGTGTCCTGACAGAAGTGGAAATATACTCTAAATTGTTAAATTTGGTACTTATGAGCTTAGCTAACGTATGAGCTTAGCAAACGTTAGCTTCTTTTTGCTTTAGAAAAGTGCACCTTGAAAGAACGCTTTTTTTGTAGTTAAACACAAGTATTTACATTTCTAATCCAGTAAAAAAAAAATTGTTTTGATATTTTTTCCTTTTGTGTCGGTATTGTGTTTCTAAAAAAGCAGAGATGAAGTCAGACTACTACTCTTGAAGAGCATTGATTAGCCCGAAGCTGTTTTGCTAATGTTAATAGCCACTGTCACTACCCGATCCGTCCCAAAAGCATGATCTTCCCTACCCCATGATCTATACCATCAGCGTATTTGGGCGACCCTTGAATTTTTTTTGTAAAAAAAAACTAAATGATATTTTTCCCTCCCAAAAAATAGTAAGCTTACTAAACTATAATGTGTTAAATGTTAATGTATTTCCTTGGAAAATAAACGCATTTAAATCCTTTCTGTTTCATCACTTTCTTTGCATGAGCTGAACAGGAAATAGGAACACTCCTATCTCCTATGCTACTTCCGGGAGCTAAGTTTTTCAGCTTTGGATTTAAACATAAATCTAAACGTTTTGAGTGTTATTTTTTCCTTTTCTGTTAACAATATGTGTACAGTGCATAACCTAAAGAAAGAAACAACTAAAATGTCAATGATCTTCATTCACATGCCGTTCCCTCCCCACTCTCTAATTATCATTTGATAATTCAACTGCTCCCTTTGGTAGATATATGGTTCAGCCCAGCTATTGGGGCCAGATCATTATTCTTAGTTTATTTGTGTATTCTTAGTTTATTCGCCTTATGTTTTCGTGTCAGTTATTCATGTTTGTTTCATGAGTTTTAGTTGAATCCCTTGTTCTTGTTCCCAGAAGCCTGAGGATATAGGGGGTTTAATGTTTGTCTCCTGTCTTCTGATCGTGTCCAGGCTCTTCTCTGCTGAGCCCTGGGGGAGGTCAGAGCACCAGTTTAAAGTTCTGCAGTAATTCCGGTACCATGTCTTTTCTTTGTCCCTCAACCAATGAGCCTGCTTCTCTCCATCAGAGAGCTCACTGCTAGACCGATGGAACGCTGAACCTGCCTGAATGCTCTGTGGATTCGTGGAACCCTAGATATGTCTGGATCTGATGGAATCGCAACCTTTAGTTGGGCTACAGGCTCCTGGATTCCAGAATTGTTCCTGTCTGATCTGTATTCCTGACCTGGATCGGGTGGTTTGAATTTGAACAGGTGTTTTTGAGTAGGAAAAGTCGAGGTCGAGCAGTCCGCTGTTAAAATTTTCAAAATGAAATGTCTTAGGATGTTTTTCATAACCATGTTGACGTAAATACTGAGATATATGAAGGGCCATAAAATACATGATAGATTGATGCATTCTGTTGTTTTTTTATTATTTTCAAGGGCTGAAATGTAAAATAATTATAAAAGATTAACAAATTAATATTTCAGTTAAATAAACCATCTAATTTTAAAATGCACAAAGGAATATTTAAATACAGTTAAAATTATCATTTAAATAATCAATAATCATTAAAAATATCTATCTATTTAAAAAAATGCTATGATTACATTATACAAATAATCAGTATAATAATTAAATATAAAGGAATTATGTTTATATTTAGCAAGTCTTTGTTTTGATTAAATATTTTTGGGTGAAATGTTTGGGAGTCACTGATCATAACTTTTAAAAATTTTAAATTCCCCCATTAAATGTCCTGTTAAATAATTAAAGGTATTTAAAATAATAAATCAAGAAATTAAATGTGATTAAAATATTTATTTAGAATGTAATATAATTAGTTTATACATTTATACACTTAGAGTGTAGTGTTTTTTGGGGGTCTCCAGTTTGTC